GGTGAGAAAACTTGTGGGAGTGACACATTATCAAAATTGGTCTCCAATATATATACTTTAATATATAGAAGATAAAATGACAAAAATCTATCATAATATTTCACTTTTTCTAATTCTCATTTTTGTTTTTAGTTTTCCTTATAAGAAAAAAGTATCATAAGGAATGACATTATTATTCAAAAATATATATGGCAATAACTACATTGAGAAGATTTGTCATTGAGTGAATATTAGTTACATTTTATTTCCATTCACCAAATTCTCCCTAAAAACAAAGGATAAAGATTGACCATATCCATCTGCATTATTTACTTTCCCACTAGAGAGTTAAAATCTAGAATTCAAAAGCTGAATTGAATTCTAATGTATTACCAATTTTGGAGTTGAGGAGATGGCGTAACGGGTGTATCTAATAAGCGTGCAAAGTAATATATAAAGGCATACCCACATACATTGACAATATAACAAAATTTGAATATTAACGAGGGGTCATGGCTTCCACTAATTTTGTTATACATACAATACCTCGTATCTTATAGAATATTCATTTATGATTTAATTTATATACGTTAAGATTGGTTTAGGTATTTTAGTAAAGTTTTGGTTATTAAAATTAAATTTTTGATTCCATATTTGGTAGATTTACATCTACGACAATCTAGTTCTTTACCGATATAAAAAATTGTGTGTAATTTTGAAATTCTGATAATGGAAAAATAGCATATCATTGTGAATATTCCTAAATATTATTTTGAGAGATATTTTTGTATCTCAATTAATTAGAATACATATATATATATCTATTAACGGTTTTTTAGATTTGAAATTTATTTAACTAAATTTTCGGATTCCATTAATATTTTGAATGCGCCAATTATCAAGACGTTGGGCAAAAAATCTGTCAAATCCGTTCTGATTTGATATTCCTTCTGATCCGTTCCGAAGAATTCAGATTTCCGTAAATATTTGAAGCAAAATAAATACTAAGTTGAAAATAGAAATATTCGTAGAAAACGAAGCAAATCGGAAATATTATTGTACAAAAACCGATTATCTGTTTAGCACAAAAAAAAACCAAATATTTGTTACGATATGTATCCTTGTAGA